GAGGGTGAGGATAAAGCAAAGAGAAGTTTGGGTAAAAAGATCCAGTACCGAATAGTAGAGATAGGCTAGTTTGATGGTTCGTGAGAGAGTAATGCCACACTCATTGTGATGATGATAAGCAGCCTGATCGTCTGCCTCCTTAAATTGAGGGTCCAGTGTGGCCCTCGAGGAGCTTCCAGAGGTTTATTGAACACATTTTTCTCCAGCCATAAGCAGGAAAAGAGCAAGAAACAGTAAGCAATCAGGGAGTAGAAGGAAGTGTGAAGAAAAAGGGCTGAAATTTAGCTGTATTTAAAGAATTGGACGGATCATCCAGGCCGATCGCAGGATCATCCAAGATGATCCGGTGCAATTATTGTTAACAACCTGATTGGTCAAAAAGACGGTCCGATCGTCCGGGCCGATCATGAAATTACTAGATGGACAAGAGGGGGGGGGGTGAATTGTGAAAACTTTATTGTAATAATTAAAACCTAAGCAGGAGTTCTAATTTTTTGGTGTATTTGTTTTTTAATTTTTAACATGAAAATTTAAAATAACTTCTAAGGCAATGGACAACAATAGAATCTTTTTCTTTCACAATTTTTCCAAGCAAATATTATGAAATAAAAATGCACGAAAAAAGAAAAACAGTAAGGAAAAAGCACACCGAGATTTTTATAGTGGTTCGGTCAAACCATGACCTACGTCCACTCCCCGGAGTCCTCCGCTCATGGAATTTCACTACCAACAATTTATTTTGAAATCAGAAGGCCTAACTTAGAAAAACATTTGGGTAAGAAAAAAGAGATCTAATCAAGACTTTGTTTCAGAAAAATATCTTATACAATAATATATCAAAGTAGTTTGTTACAATCACAAAATTTGAAATCAAGTCTTTAAAAATCTCAAGTGATACATGAAATCTTCTAAGTTTTAAGAGTTTGAAGAAGGGAAGATAGCTTGCCTTTGATGGGCTCATTTTATGCCTCTTGTCTATTGAATGGCGCACTTTGCATATCTTTTAATTGTATATATATATATATATATCAATTTGGAATCATTGTGCACATTTTGTTTTTTTTGGCATCATTGGCCATTTTTTTTCATTATTTTTGCAAGCTAGATTCTTTTACAAAGACTCTTAAATATCCTTATTTGTGAGTATATCTTCCATATATTAGAGAAGAAAAACCCACTCTCTAAAATAAGGAAGAATAATCCACAAAACAGAATCAAAAATCATGTGAGAGATTCATTTACAGGAAAATGAGAAATCTTGAAGTAACATAAAAACTTTGACTATTATTATATAAGTTAGATTACTGTAGCATGGTAGAAAAGATCTCAATTGCAAAATCTAATTATTAATTTGAGATAGGGTTTTGGATAGAAAAGAAATTTTTACCACCAAAATAGGTTAGAGAGAGGGACACAATCAACGATGTTTTTACCCTTTATTTAAGAGATGTAAAACATTAACTCCCAATTTTCAAAATAAAAAAATAGGGCATAAGATATCAATTTAGTAATGATTTGAAAAGGAAAAATAAAGCAAGACATATGAAGAACTAAAGTACCAAGAACAAAATAAAAAATAACTAGAAATAAACAACAAAAAAACTAGAAAAATGCAGCAAAGTAATCAGCATAAAAAACATCAGTAGAAATCAAGTTCATGTATTAATGTCAATCACACCCAATCTGGTCCTTAAAGTACTGAAAGTATCGAAGGCCACTAGTTTAGTAAAAATGTCAGCCAGTTGATTCTCAGTCGCCATATGATGTAACTCAATATCTCCCTTAGTCACATTATCTCTAATAAAGTGATGTCTAATGTCAATGTGCTTAGTCCTTGAATGTTGGATAGGATTCTTAGAAATACAGATGGCACTAGTATTGTCACAAAGAACAAATATGGTGCATACAGGTAATCCTAAACCCAGTACTAGCTATTTTAGCCAAAGGAATTGGGCCACACAACTTCCTAAAGTAATGTACTTAGCTTCAGTAGTGAAAAGAGCAACAGAGTTTTGCTTTCTGCTAGACCAGGAGACTAAATACTATCCTATGAATTAACAAGTTCAAAAATTGCTTTTTTTATCCACTTTACATCCTACAAAATTAGAATCAGAATATATAATAATCTCAAAGGAAGTGTTGTGCTTAGGGTACCAGATTCCTATATTTTGGGTCTCTTAAAGTTATCTAAGAATTCTCTTAACTGTAGTCAAATGGGATTCCTTAGGGTCAGCTTGAAATCTAGCACAAAGATAAATTCTAAATATTATATCAGGTAGGCTAGCAGTCAGATAAAGTAAAGATCCAATCATCCCTCTGTACTTCTTCTGATCTTAATTTCATTACTTTAAATTTCATCAATTGATCAATTTAATAAATAATAGTGATACTATGTTATTACCATTATTATTAAATTCCACAACTGTAGAAATGGGTCAAATACTTAAAATCGCCTCGGTTTATGCGTGATTCCCTCAATTTGCACGAGATCGCCTCGAAACTTGTGCCGATTTGCATGTGTGATTTCCATTGGGCAAAATTATAGTTGATCTTAGGTATTGTCGATGCTCCGGACGCAACAAACAAATTCTGTTTTGCGATGGATGTAATTTGGGCAACGTTGCGTGTTAATTTCTTTAATTTGCACGTCATTGCCTCGGGAAATATATTAATAGAGCTTACAAAATTCAAATAACAAAATAAAATATTTAAATATTTGATAATTGTGGTGTTAAAAATAAATCTTACCTGAAAGAAACTATTTCAAAATATCTCAAATTCTTGAGCAAACTATTTTGAATTTGATTTCAAGCAAAAAACAAGAATACAAATTAAATTAATAAAAGTTAAAACATTTAATCAATATACTTCTAAAATTACTATGACTCCGATGGAACTCAATTTATGGCAACATTGTAATCAAAATTTATGCATTGGTTTTAAAAATCAGATCGGATCGGCTGGTTTAACCAGAAATCGATCAGCCGGCCGGTCCGGTTACTTAATGAAAACTATTTATCACTCAAACCAGGGAAAAATCGGCTATTTTTCTGGTTGAAGCATAGAATCGCTTAACTTGGCTGTTTTAGAAGAATATCCTTGTTCTTTATTTATGTGAATCACTGCCATCCGTTGAAGATTGGATGAGTGAATTTTTTTAGGAAAATGTAATCCGTTAAACGAGTGCACTAAGAGGAGAAACACATGCTCAAATTTCTCTCCCAAAATACGTTTTATGTCTTTGTTCCTCTCCCGATACTCTATCCTAAGCTTTCGAAGGCTATCGCTCGTAGTGTCAAAGCCTCAAAGGTGTTTCTGAAATTCGTCAAATAGTTGTGTAAGACAGAAGATATGCTAAATCGTGCTTCTACATTCAATCCCTATTCTTATTTTATGCAACTTTCTTTTATTATGGATTACATAAATTCATGTTATAGGTGTAATGGGATAATGTATTTATTCATAGAATGGGGCTTTTATCAGAATAAGTTCTTTAATGTTGTCTACATTTGCTTTGTTGGACTTTGAAGCTGTTTTAAATGGTTTGTTCATTCATATTTGTGGCCTTGTGGGGAAAGGGAGACTAGACTTGTGCAATTTTTCATTGATAGGAAATTATTTATGCAATTTATCCAGCAACTTTATGCATCTATTGAACTCCCTTTCAACCATTCTTTGTTTTTTTTTTTTAAATATGTTTGAAGCTTGAACTGTTAAGACAATTAATTGAAAATTATTGTTTATTTTATCTTTGTTTCATAGATATGAGCTTCCATTATCTTCAAAAGTTTTTTTAGTATATATGCATCTTTATAATTTTTGTTTATTTTTTTCATGCTAAAGTGTTGCTATTAATTCTCATTTTGCCATCATATTTTTAGATTTCCACCCATTAAAGAAAAAAGACGAGAAGCTTTGGTGCAAAAATTATAATTACTATTTAGTATCATGAAAAAGAGCTCAATTGCTGAAACAGATTATATTTTTAATTTTAAAATCAATTGTATAAATTTTATGCTTCATAATTATTAACTCTACTTAATTTTTAACATATATTTTATATCATAACATCATTATAATATAATATTTTTAAATTTTTTTTAATAAAATTAATATTTGTTACATCATCCGATTCAACTATAACTCCAATCAAACAACAATTCTTTTATGGTGAGCCTCTTTTTTTGATTTATTGTCCGATCCAATTTAACAATATTAATTTAGGGCATTGAATTGTTCTAAAAAAAAAGCCAAGCAGTTTAATAATAAGATTAAGCAACCTTAAAATTGTACTAGGCAACATGAACACATAATTTTGAGAACCTCAAAAAAGTACTGTCTACTTTCTGTAAAACTTCACTAGTGATGCCCATGTCAACTGCCAATTTTGCCACACGAGCGAAGCCTATAGCTCAAGTGAGCTAATCAAGCCCACGAGGTTGAATCATCCAACCATTTTTTTCTTAATAAAAGAGTAAGTGATTCAATCCATTCAATTTTAGCCTTAATTTAGTAGACTAAAAAACGAAAACAGAACAAAACCCCCTTCTTTAATACATAAATAGATTTATGTGTACACATTCTAAGCAAAATATCAACAAAAAGAAAATGATCACATCAACCACTCGAAAAAATATGATTCAAGTCATTAACCGGTGGCTCTCCGCCACAATAGATTCCCGTCGTCAGCCGACATCCAAACCAATCCGATATTCCTTTTCAACCCGAACCCTTCAGATTCCCAGCTCCCGATGGTTCATGTTTCATTACATTTCAGCTAAGCTAAATCACATTATTTTCCCTTTCATTGATTTCCACAAAAATTTCTCCTACAAAATATATTTAATAAATCTAATTCTATATCAAATTTTGGTTTAAAACGAAGTAAATTTTCTACCTACATGTTTATTCTAAGAAACACAAATTCATAATATTTTTACTAAAAAAAAAAGTAACTTACACAACGTTTATGACAGTATTCAATATGCAAAACAAATGAATTAAAACTGGAAATAATTTTAATATACAACTTAAATAAAAAAAATTATAATATATTAAGAACCCGTGGCACAATGAATCTTTCCTGATTTAACGCTGTCAGAAGCTTCTCAGATAATTTTTTTCATCTGTATAGTTTGCTGGCATCACAAGGCAATATGCCAAACGGGTGTAGCCATCAAGCACTCACTTAGCAAGCAAACCTCATTTACATTAGTTCCCTCATAACGACTAATGACGATTAGAAAGACTACATTTCAGCACATTTTAGTTACAAAATCCAGAAGCATTCATACATTAAAAAAAAAAATTGTTAAGATTAGGAGTTTGGATAGACGACGAGTAAAGTGTAGATAGATAGCTCGTAGTGACGGCACAGAGCTTTTCTAGTTTCCACGAGTCCGCAAGATGTCATTCTGAAATCTAAGACTTCCAAAATCATGACAGGAACTAAGCATGAAGGACTGAGAAATTAAATTTTAAGACTGTTAAACTTGCATTTATCTGGTCAAGCTTTGGTGAAGTAAGCAGATGATAATTCTCTCTAAATCGTTAAATGATCAGTTTAACCAAAATCTTGAGGCTGACAAATCACGGACAGCAGTACCACCATTGGCGACTTTTTGAAGCCGAGAAGAAAATTCATTTGCCTGAAAAAGGTTCCATAAGGAAATCATTTGGGATAATGCACATCTATCATATCAACAAGACAATAATACATATTCAAACTACAAAAGAATTTGCAATTGCAAGTACCAAACAAGCTCCAAAATAAACACCCAAAAAGCAGACATCGGGATCCGAGGGAAAATTTTTGGGGACCAGCCACACCATTAAAGTGCATTTAACCCAATAGCAAATATTTTTCAAGATTATTTTTACATAATTATTTCTTTATATCTCTTCTCTTCTCCTCTCTTAATTTATCTCTTTGGAGTAATTTGCAGATACCAATAATTGATGTTTATTTATGCAGGGGAAGGAGTCCCGTATAAAATATACAAACTCAGGAAATCAACCCAGGTTATGCAATTCATATTTTTATGTTGTTTTCTTCTGTAATATATTTCACATAATTTATTACTTATCACTTTTTGTGCAATTTTTTATTTCATATATATCTAAATTTATTACTTACATAGTTCAATAGAAAGTTAATATGACATTCTTTAACATATTATTTGTATATTATATAAAAAAATCACTTTTAATTTTTATTTTTACTTTACACAATTTTTAAGTTTTGAAGCTTCTGTATGCCTCACGCCTTGAAGCTTACGCCTTGCCTCACAAAAGAAAACCAGCTTAACACCCAATTGCTCAGTTTTAAACTTTGATTCCGTGACATCTAGGTGCTTAGGGCTGCAAGAGAACCAAACGTTCGACGAGCTACTCGTTGTTCGGTTCGATTAAAGCTCGTTTGCGATCGTTTAATTAACTAAACAAACAAACTTGAACAATATTTTAAATACTCGATTCTTAAATAAACAAACTTGAACACTAATGTGTTCGGCTCATCTATGTTCGCGAACAGCATCATTTGAAGTTCGTGAACAAGCTCGACATTAAGCTCGATAAGAAGCTCGATTCGTGTTCGATTTTGAACTCGTTAATAAGCTCGATAAAATTAATTAATATTTGACTATATAATTAATAAATATAAATAATAATTACCTTTGTTACATAAGTAATTACTTTTATTATAAATGTGTTTGTTCATAGATATGTTCATGAACGTGTTTGTTTGATAGTTAAAAAAAATTCGTTAAATATGTTCGCGAACAAGCTCGATAAACACTAAACGAATGAACATGAACCGAACATGAACAGTCCTTAATTTAAACGAACCAAACATGAACACAAATGCTAAAGCTCGAACAAACATGAACCAAACATGAACAAGCTGATATTAAATGAACACAAACAAGAACACTCACATACTCGGCTCGGCTCGGTTCATTTACAGCCCTATAGGTGCTTGATTCCAATTAAATTTGCTAGCCATGAAGAACACATATGGTGTGAAGTCATTCCTATGGTTAGAATCCATATTTTTTCGAGTAAATCGTGTTGATAAAATGAAGATTACCTATAAGGATTATTACAACATTTAAGTATTTAATAATACTAGGAAAAGCTAAATATTTCCAATCAAATCATTATATGAGCAATTTGTCGGCTCCGAATATTTGTGCCCCAGCCTCTCCCTATTTTGGAAGATTAACAGAGATGTTATAAGTTTAAGTTAAATTTTCGGAAGGCATACTAAATTAAACGCTTACTTGTATACTTAATGATTTCCATCAATGCCTTACATATTCATAGAGATTTTAAACTCATATTAAAATATCATAGTGTAATTGACTTTATCATGATAACTGTCACATGGCCTAAATAATGATAAAATGAACCATGTGATTATATAATATGGTTTACATTAGCATTGTTTGATTGACATGGAATAAATATTAACCCTACAAATCATAATAAACTAAGATGAAACGAACAAAACATTAAGTATAATGTTCATAAAATCTTTGTTATTGGGTATAAATCTTTGTTATAATACCTTAAAACAAATATTTTAATAAGCTATGCTTGTCTGTTTGATGGATGAGATTTTCAATAACATACACATGTTAACACGATGACTATTTAGGCCTAAGTACATCGACGGTTGCATCTCCTGGTACTCTCATTAATTTGGTGAGAAACTTCCTACTATTCCAAGCTACCCGACTATGTAGCATAACATATATAAATAATTTGAGTCGTTTCTAGTGCATAAACCTAGGATGCACCGACACTCCATGAGAGAGAATGCAGCGTCGGACACGTATCGGATATAGGCACGCTCCTGACACTGCTAGGACGTGTCCAACAAAGAACCGTGCCAAATTAAAATAATATTTAAATTAAAACGGGCAAATGTGCGTGTTGTAACACTACAGAGCTAAAATTGGAAAATTATCTATTTATCATTTTAAGAATATACTAGAATTTATATAAGTCATCAATATAAACAATACAACAACAACATCAAGCCTTTATCCCACTACTTGGGGTCGGCTAAATGAATCCTTTTTCTCCATTGTGTCTTATTAAAAAAATAACTAATATCATATACATCAAGATATTTTACTATTCATTCACCAAAATATCATTTACACTAGCTAAGAGATCACTACAATCATTAATCTATCATAAAATCCTGACTACAAAAGAATAAAAAAAAATACAAAAAAAAAAAAAAAAAAAAACATAATATCTTCTTACAATCTCACCTCCAATTGGTCATGACATATTCCTTGATCTGAAATCATTAAAAATCTATATAATGAGCTCAAAAATCCAACAATAATTCAAAACTCACTAAAACTTTCAATGCAAGGACTAAGAATTAATATGAAATACTCAGTCTAATATAATCAATAGCAGTCAATATAATTAAAAACCAAATATTATCAATAAAAATTAAAATAATCAATAATAAAAGTAGGGAACCACTACAATGAATCAAAAAATTAATAATTGGTATAAAATTTAATAAATTAGTAAAATAACGGTGCAAAAAATAATTCATAAATCGCTAAAGGAATTTATATTATATATTCATATGCATCATCTGTTTATATATTATCAATGCATCCAATATTGTCAATGATATTAATGTATCTGTTAATATCATTAGTACTATAAATATATGATTTAGCAAGGGAGAACATACGACTTTAATGTGATATTTTTAACATCTTTTACCCCAACTGAATCCAAATTGGTCATCAGTCATATCAATTATCACTTATCCAATTAATCAATTATCATTACATGTGGCTTCATTAAATCAATAAAGAGTCATCACTCTCTTCCAATCAGCATAATCAATCATCTATTACAGACTAAAACCGGGATAGCACCACAAATCAGCTTTCAATAAAAGCCCATCGGACCACCCTCCTGGGCATGATATTATGTTTTAATAGTCAACCATTTTATAGTGTTAACAGCCAGCCTTTCTTGCTTATGCAAATGTCACAATTAAAATACGGTAGTAAATAATCAATTATGTTCAATACAAGAAAATTTATATAATAATCAAAATTAAAAGCATTGAAAATTAAAATGAGATTTAAGTTCCTTACAACAAATAGAAGAAATATCTGAACAAAATTGATGGATGAAAAAACACCAAACAACATTCTCTCTTCTTCGACAAGACACGATGCTGAAATTGAGATTTTTCATTTTAAAAAATCATTTCAAAAAAATCAAATTATTACACGAGTCCTAATATTTGATAATTAAATTTATTTAAATTATAAATTTATATATTTTCATAAATTTTTAATTAAATAAAAGGTGTTTAGGGACCATTCGAATTGTATATCCATGAATATGTGCACGACTTCCTGTAAGCCTTAGGGTTTCACTTTACACCATCGCTCACCCTCATCTTCTTCGTTCACGCGACCAGGTGAGCCGATCGAGCGAAGAGAGCACACGATTGAAGCCCGAAACCTCCTCATTTTCTCGTCTTCTTCATTAGTCCTCTTCGACTCTTCATCATTTTTGCGACGAGGCGAACCCAGCTGAGCAGGCTACAGCTCTATTTTAAGCTAGGTACGTCTGACTACACCTGTTTTATCGCCGTTCTCTTCACTCATTCATCTTCACCATTTTTGGCAATTACGAAGGGCATTGAAGGGTTTCGACTCTTGTGTTTGCACTGTTGAAGCCAAAGGAGGGGGAGTGAGAAAGATACGTTCGATTAGAGAATAAATTGTCAGCTTCTTTATTTCCGTAAGCAAGTGAGCAAACTATACCTTACCAATTAATTTGATTTTTTTTTGTTTTCACTTTTTCTCTAAAAAATATGCCATATTTTTTTGAAATTGCCGGCTTTATGTGTATATCTATTTTCAACTCTTCGTGTATTCTTATGAAAATTTGAGAGCATGACATTCCTATTTGGGTAAAGTTTCAACTTGTGAATATCTTAATCTCAAAATCACAAAAAATTTATTTTAGTTCTCTTTTTTGTATGCAAGTTCTACAAATATAATTTCAATTTAAGAGATCAATTGGTGCTCTAACGAATAGGTTAGATTAGGTATTGAGTTTTAGTCTAAGCAAAAGTGTATATTTGAATGTTGTAGCATTAATCTATTCATATTTTGTATTGAGTTTTAGTTCTCTTTTTTGTAGCACGAATCATATTATTCCTTTAAATGAGTAGCTGAAGTTTGATGTTATACTAAATAATTTTTTGCTTATATCTTTATGGTTGATATTTTATACTAGACATTTCATATTATAAGAAAGACAAGTAAATATGACATTGATTTATTATTATTTTCCATTTATAATATGATGTTATATCAATTTATATACACTATTTAAAAATTATAATGTCGTGTTCAAGTCATACCCGTGTCCTATATTTTTCTGATGGTTGTGTGCCGTGTTTGTGTCGTGTCCGTATCACCATGTCCATGTCCGTGCATCATAGGTATAAACAACTATGATATGCATGCTGGTCAAAAATTTAGAATTCAACGCGATACTTGATATTTTGCACATAATTTGAATAATTTTATTGCATTGTAATCACCATTAAACTATTTTCATGTTGATAATTGTTGGAGGATGA